GACATAGTATTGGTGTACAGGACAGAGTGTTGGTGTACAGGATATATAATTGTTGATGTACAGGATATAGTGTTGGTGTACAGGACATAGCGTTGGTGTACAGGACATAGTGTTGGTGTACAGGACATAGTGTTGGTGTACAGGACAGAGTGTTGATGTACAGGACAGAGTGTTAGTGTACAGGACAGAGTGTTAGTGTACAGGACAGAGTGTTAGTGTACAGGACAGAGTGTTAGTGTACAGGACAGAGTGCTGGTGTACAGGATATAGTGTAGGTGTACAGGACAGAGTGTTGGTGTACAGGACATAGTGTTGGTGTACAGGACATAGTGTAGGTGTAGAGGACATACTGTTGGTGTACAGGACATATTGTACAATACATAGTGTTGATGTACAGAGCATATTATACAGTACATAGTGTCTGTGTACAGCGCATATTGTACAGTACATAGTGTATGTGTACAGGGCATACTCTTGGTGTACAGGGCATAGTGTTGGTGTACTGGGCATATTGTACAGTATATAGTGTATGTGTACATGGCATACTATTGGTGTACAGGTCATAGTGTTGGTGTACAGGGCATATTGTATAGTATATAGTGTTGGTGTACATGGCATAGTGTTGATGTGCAGGGCATATTGTACAGTACATAGTGTAGGTGTACAGGGCATACTGTTGGTGTACAAGGTATAGTGTTGGTGTACAGGGCATATTGTAGAGTACATATTGTTGATGTACAGGACACTATATTCTTGTATATGTGAAGTCAACTTTGAGCTTTTGTAACAAGACTTAAATTCTATAATCTTTGACTTTTTTATCAAAAGACGGTGAGTATTGTGCTCATTCCAAACTTTGCTTGTGATAAAGAACAGCAAATGTACCCACAGTAATCTCAACTACCAATTATATGTTGACTAAGTGAATGAAAACTTGAATAATTATTCTTAAGTCTTTCATCCGTGACCTCATATACTAAGTCCAAATACAAATAAATAAATACTAATCTCATGTATTAAGTTCAAATACAAATAAATAAATACTAATCTCCTGTATTAAGTTCAAATACAAAGAAATAAATGCTACTCTCATGTACTAGGTTCAAATACAGATAAATAAATGATAATCTCGTGTATTAAGTTCAAATACAAAGAAATAAATGCTAATCTCCTGTATTAAGTTCAAATACAAAGAAATAAATGCTACTCTCATGTACTAGGTTCAAATACAGATAAATAAATGATAATCTCGTGTATTAAGTTCAAATACAAAGAAATAAATGCTCATCTCCTGTATTAAGTTCAAATACAAAGAAATAAATGCTACTCTCATGTACTAGGTTCAAATACAGATAAATAAATGATAATCTCGTGTATTAAGTTCAAATACAAAGAAATAAATGCTACTCTCATGTACTAGGTTCAAATACAGATAAATAAATGATAATCTCGTGTATTAAGTTCAAATACAAAGAAATAAATGCTAATCTCCTGTATTAAGTTCAAATACAAAGAAATAAATGCTACTCTCATGCACTAGGTTCAAATACAGATAAATAAATGATAATCTCGTGTATTAAGTTCAAATACAAAGAAATAAATGCTACTCTCATGCACTAGGTTCAAATACAGATAAATAAATGATAATCTCGTGTATTAAGTTCAAATACAAAGAAATAAATGCTACTCTCATGTACTAGGTTCAAATACAAAGAAATAAATGATAATCTCGTGTATTAAGTTCAAATACAAAGAAATAAATGCTACTCTCATGTACTAGGTTCAAATACAAAGAAATAAATGATAATCTCGTGTATTAAGTTCAAATACAAAGAAATAAATACTAATCTCCTGTATTAAGTTCAAATACAAAGAAATAAATGCTACTCTCATGTACTAGGTTCAAATACAGATAAATAAATGATAATCTCGTGTATTAAGTTCAAATACAAAGAAATAAATGCTACTCTCATGTACTAGGTTCAAATACAGATAAATAATTGATAATCTCGTGTATTAAGTTGAAGTACAGATAAATTAACCTAAGAGCATGTAATTAGGTGTTCATAAATCGGTATTTCTTGGTTCACATCTTGAAATATATAATGTAACTTGGGGTGAGAGTGTGTGGCTTCCTGCTGGTGTTGTTGACGATCCCACAATGTTATAAGGTTATTACAACACGTGGACCATTACAACAGTGGACTATCACAATCAACACGTGGTTCATATCAACACACCTCCCATACACTGTGACAATTACCTTCATTCCTTACATGGGGAGGGTGAACCTAGCACTTTACCGTCACCTCCACAAAGAACATCATCCTAACCATATTCAGAACTAGATATAAATTATATTTATATCACAAACTTTGTAAAGCACATACTTATATTTGGGTGATATACAGTCATCACCAGATAAGTGAGAACAAACTTATGAACTATTGTAAGGGATAATCTGGGTATTGTAACTATATTCCTAATACTAATGTAACAAAATTGGTGGTAACAGCAGCAATAAATAGCTCAGGGTCTATCAGTATTGTTAAGATTGTTATTTCAGTTTTGTGATTATATACCATGATGAAAAATCCCTTTATTTATTTAGTCGTTTTATATTTATCATTTAGTTAAGTTAAGAGGTATAATGAAGCGCCAATTGTGATGACTCTAGGTAAACTACTCAGACGATGAAGGCTTTCCTAATAACAACGAGACTGAAGAAAGTTTACACTCTGAGCTTTGTCGCTGCTGCCAACTTGTGGTAACTTAACAATAACTGCAAGTTAATACCTGCCCTTAACAGTGTAATCATGTGCAAGAACTAAGAAACTGAACTCTTTGAAGTGGCCCGCTTTACGCACATCGGCAGTGGTAAATAATAACGAGCGGATAGGACAACCTAGTGTAGATATACTGTACAACTGATATGGAAAACATTGGAGAGCGCGTTATCATTATATGTGACACACAACTGTAAAAAGCAACTGGCGGTAGATCTACTTGTGCTTGAGGCTTCAACTTCAACGCTAATCTACTCATCTACTATAATTATAAGACCTGAACACCTCGCCTGGTAGAGCGTGTCGGGCCAATAAGGAGCCAGTTTTTTGCTTCACATCAAAATTCTAAAATCGTGTTAATTTGGAATTCAGAAAATCATGCAATGAAATATATTTGGATTAAATGATAGTAACACTATCGTAGACACTACTGAACTAGAGAAATAGCTGCATGCCACGGGTTAAGTCATGTTAAACAGGGCCAAGTTGATACTACTTTAGATCAACTGAAATATATAGCAGTTTAACAGACGCTCCGGTACAATAGAGTGGATATATAAATAATCTAATTTACATTACTGAATGTTAACTGTATCTAATTTCTATGAGACAGTACTATGTTGAAGCACTGCAAAACACCTCTACACTCCAAGGCAGATAATGAGAACAATTAGGAAATTGTTCAAAGCGGAGGCACTTAGCATCCATGACATAGCACAAAATGTATCACCGACTTGGTATTAATCATATTGCTTGTGTAGCGAGTCTTGATCCCTGCCCATACTACATGGCCAGGTTGGCAATAGTAGTTGACGAGGCAGTATGGAAAGTCACTCAAAGTTCACACATTAACTAAACTCAAATTTACAAATACAGTACAGTGAAAACTTTCATATAAAGGACTCATCTCAATATATCCCATTATATCTGGGTTTCACATCTAACGGAACCTTGATATAATGAACTTCCTCACCATATAGACCGTTAAATAGAGTTTTCACTGTAATTCAAGTGACAATGATGGATAAACTAAAAATAAACAAAAATTATTCGAGTTAGGTAGTGAGTGACCAATGTGCCACGTTTGTATGACACCCTAAAGACTTTCCATATCACATCGTGGATCTTCGCTCTAAAGAATCATACTGATGATAATGATACCATGAATCTCTCTTCACTCTTAGGTAGCCATATGTACTGTAAACTTTGACTGTTTAAAACTACATTATGAATGTTCATATTGTTTACGTCTTACAAGGCAAACATATGTAAACTTTGACTGTTTAAAATTACAATATGAATGTTCATATTGTTTACGTCTAGAGCATGAGCTTTGTTTGTTTACATGAGATGTCCGTTGATATTGTTTATAATACAAATGTTATTTCTTTGATGTATAAACTTTGATGTTGTTGAGCTAACATAATAATTGTTTACAACTACGATATGAACGTTTCTTGTTTACGTTTACAATACGAATGTTCATAGTTCTTGTTTACATTCATTGTTGTTGTTGTTTATATGTAGAAAACGGACGGTGGCTTATATTGTCTGCATCTGTCATATGAAGAGTGTGTTTATTTTTCGGGGGTTTCAAGTATGTGTATAACATGTGGTTGCCAAGTGTCAATGTTTACATATGGTTGCCAACTTCCTCCTGCCAGAAAGTTTATCAAGTTTATGATTTTTTTTTTAATTTCTGATTTATATAAGTTACTACAGTATAACTTGCTCCATTAGTTTACCAGGCCATTTTAATCAGCTTCCAACAAAGTATTATTAAGGACTTTGGATCACTGTAGAATTTCCACCCCAGCTTATTTCACTTGAGGATTAATCACCCTAATGGTATTCGAAGGGATGAGGTTAGGTTAGGTTAGGTTAGGTTAGGTTAGCTTAGGTTAGGTTAGGGTGGTTAATCTTTCGGTAAAATAAGCTGGTACGGAGCTTATTCACCTTTGCAAAAGGTTTTTTACAGGACAAATTTGCATAACATTTATTTTTTTATTATATTATAGTCAATATTAGGAAAACCGACCAAGACTCCGAACAGTTAAACCATCAACACTTTTCATGTGATGCAAAGGAATTAAACTTGAACCAAACTGAAATACTACTTAGGTTAGGTTTGGTTAGGTTGACTTAGGTTGAATAAGGTTAGGTTAGCTTAAGTTGGGTTAGGTTGAGTAGGGTCAAGTTAGGTTAGATTTTGATTAGCTTAGGTTAGATTTAGTTAGGTTAGGTTAAAGATAAAAATAATGGTCTAATCTCTTCTTAGTGTTTTCCTTTCCTAATATCGTCTATCATAAGAGGTAACCAACACACGCCTCAGCGATCTATTGCATGATGGGAGAAGGTAATGAACACGGGAGGTAAACATCATGTGGAGACGAACACGAAAAATCTGTTGTTGTTATGGTGATGTTGAGGTTAGCTGCGACCACATCACAGCGTTCAGCACAAGGGGTAACGAAATCTTTACATGATGACACAGAAGGGAGTTTTAGGCGCAGATTCCTGAAAAAGAGGGAACAAAATAAGAGAAAATAGGTTACTTATACAGGAGTTAGTTACGACCTAACCTACCACAACCTCACTTGTTGAAACGGTGAGACGTTTTCTAGGGGAGTTTTTGGAGACGAAGCGCTCGCCCTGTTTGCCTTCCCCCACTGGGCAAAGTCTCACAAGAAATTAAACCTCAGGGATGAGTTTTAATCTTCCTTGAACAGTTCTTAAGGGGTTAATCTCTCCAAATCCATTATGCACATTAGGTTTTGAATAAGGTGACTGGAATAATGGGATTTAAGATAGTCTAGCTCCTTAAGATGTCTTTACCTTATGATCACTGTACCCAAGGGGATAATTTCTATGGCAATATCAATCCCTCAAGACTGACTTTAACCCCTTGAGTACGATGACTTAACCTCCTGAGTACGAAGAATTAACCTCTTGAGTACGATGACTTAATCTCCTGAGTACGTAGAATTATCCCCGAGTACGATGACTAAACCCACCGAGTATTAGCGAAAGGTTCAGACATTGTATTCGAGGGTTAGTTCATCGTACTCAAGGGGCTAATTCTTCGTACTCAAGGGGTTAAATTATCGTACTCAAGGGGTTAAATTATCGTACTCAAGGGGTTAAATTATTGTACTCAAGGGGTTAAATTATTGTACTCAAGGGGTTAAATTATCGTACTCAAGGGTTAAAGTGTATTACAACTCAAAACTTGTGCTTGGCATCGAGACTGGGAAACTTTATAATGAGGCTTAACAGGTTTGTGGTCGTGAGTAAACAGTAAATTATGCTAAACGAAACAAGCAGTGCTAACTACAACAGTCACCATCTTTTACATGACAACGACCACACAATCACTAAACAGCAAAAGCAAAAAACTGAACTAAAAATGGAGAAAAAATGGAATCTATGCCTGACTCTCTCTATACTAGCAAACTTTACACAATACCCTCCCAAAACACACACACATACACAGACATATCCTTAACTAACAATCTTCCACACCTAACTAAACATTCCAACTATCATACTTAAGTTGACACATACTGTACTTAATGGTACCCGACAAGCCACATAATATAGCCTGTTTATTAAGTAAATTCATTCAACTTTGAATGATAGTTGCTATTTTTATTGATAAAACAACGCGGTTCACTGAAAACCTCCCGAAGACAACAGGTTAGGTCAGGCTAGGTTAGGTTAGGTTAAGTTTACTGATATATATATATATATATATATATATATATATATATATATATATATATATATATATATATATATATATATATATATATATATATATATATATATATATAAATTTTAGTAAAACATCTCAACACATTTTCATTATTTTTTCCGAGACTCTACCATAACTAGATACCTTCACTTAACACTGAGACTCTACCTTAACTAGATACCTTCATTTAACACTAAGACTTTACCTTAACTAGATACCTTCACTTAACACTGAGACTCTACCTAAACTAGATACCGTCACTTAACACTAAGACTCTACCTTAACTAGATACCTTCACTTAACACTGAGACTCTACCTTATCTAGATACCTTCACTTAACACTAAGAATCTACCTTATCTAGATACCTTCACTTAACACTGAGACTCTACCTTAACTAGATACCTTCACTTAACACTGAGACTCTACCTTAACTAGACACCTTCATTTAACACTGAGACTCTACCTTACTAGATACCTTCACTTAACACTGAGACTCTACCTTAACTAGATACCTTCACTTAACACTGAGACTCTACCTTAACTAGATACCTTCACTTAACACTGAGACTCTACCTTAACTAGACACCTTCACTTAACACTGAGACTCTACCTTAACTAGACACCTTCACTTAACACTGAGACTCTACCTTAACTGGACACCTTCACTTAACACTGAGACTCTACCTTAACTAGATTGAACTCAAGTTATTGGGATGAGTTGAGTGAAGGAATCTAGATCATACATAGAGGAATATTTATCATACATAGAAAAATATTTATCATCCTAACCTAACCTACAGTGGGTATGAAAGTCGTGAATGTTGACTGTTGATTGAGTGTCAACTGTGTATGACGGTGGTTGTTTGACTGTATGACATTATGAATGACTGTATGGCAAGTACAACACGCTCCAGAACGACTGAGGAAACGACTGCAACTGTGTGACTGACTTTGTAAGACCGTTTGAGTGACTGTATGAGTAACTGTATATCCTAACTGTATGATTTGACTGTATGAGTGTGTATGATTGCCTCCAATGTCATATGTTTGTGTTGGGTGTGGGAATACATCACTCGATCCACAGCCTAAAGGAAGCTGGTTCGCAGTTAAGGTATTCTTACTCTCCTTAACCAGTGGGTGTTGTATCTGTACCCTCCAAAACACCCAACCACAAGAGTGAGATTATTGAGATGAGGGAATTAACAGTAAACACCGGGTTGTTCTATCTTACGAGCCCACCCATCTCCCTAAACTAACCCTCTCTCACTCCCATTCTCTCTCTCTATCACACTGAATCGTTAATTCTCTCACACACTTACACATTACCTCCTCACTCTCTTCCTCAAGACCCTGCGCTGCAAGCTCTTGTCATCTTTGCGCCAAAGTCGATACTATGGGAGGACGAACGGGCTTGTTGTCGAGAATTCGCTCCAACTCTGCGATGTGATCTGGCTTCAGCTTGGGTAAAACCTGTGTAATGTGAAGATGTGTCCACCATGAGAATCAATATCACAGTCCTAATAGGCCCCCCTAGTCCTTAGGGGTCTCAGTCCTTCAAGGGCCCATTCTTTATGCCACACGGTCCTGATAGGCCCCAGTTCATAGTGGCTGCACTAGGAATGTGGATAATTTGGTTCATCTACTATTTGGGTAAAGAGAAATTAGGATTGTGAAATGTTAAGATTAGTTACAATTGGGAGGTCTTAATGGTGTCATGTCTCAGTTCAGGGAAGCATCTTTGAGAAGCCTAATACCTGGTTGAACTAGTATCCTGCCAAGGTGGGAGAGTAACTCACTAGCTGATGAACGTTACAAGTCATCGTCCCAAAGTAGAAGGGAAATATAGAGTGATAGAAAAATACTTATCAAAGAGTCACCTGAAAAGAGAGAAAAGAGAGATAAGAAAAAGACAGATGATTGTCTTAGAGCAGTGGTTCTTAACCTGGGTGGCGTCAGTAATTTCCAGGGGGGCGCAAGCCCTCGGGAAAAGAAGGAATTTCTCTAATTATAATTATAGTTTTTATTCTCTTAACAAGAGCGTGGGCTAATATTGAGAAGTTTATGAAAAAATGCAAAAGTATCGCCTTATAACTTTAGTTTTCTATTGGCTACTTTTTTGACTTAGGGCTTACCATTTTCTGTACTTATTGACCCCCCTCCCTATCCCTTGAAACCCATGAGGGGGGGAAGGGGTTAACCCTTCCTGGACCTGTATACTGCTCGTTGGTGACTGGTGAGCCCCGTTCTCTCCCAGTCTTCTCCACACGTCCGTGGCAATAATTCCTCTTCTCTCACATTTATTCAGTAAAGGCTGTTGAGGTATCTTTTATCCCAGTTGTTATATTTACCTAAAAATAGTAAGCAGCCATAAGTTTATTGGTGAATTGTGAACACGCATGTGTTGCTCTGTTGGTTATTCGCAAGTTTTGAATTCCGTTTGTATTTTATCAGAAGTTGGTGGTGCTTAAAATCATGTGGTGGTAACAGGTGGTTATGGTAAAGTTGTATTTATGATGATATTGATTTGTTTCTTAATAATCATGTGTTTATGATCATGATGTGTTTACTATAATGTTGTGGTGTTTGTTAATATTTACTTAATAATTATGTGGTGGTGTTTATGATCATGTAGTGGTGCTTATGATCATGTTGTGATCATTGATGCTTGTTAATAATCATGTGGTGTTTATGATCATGTGATGTTTGTTAATGATATGGTGGTGTTTATGATCATGTATAATTGTAGTCACTTGTAGTGTTTACGAACTTTACGATCATATGTTTGTTATTGATCATGTGGTTGTGATTATCATGATGTTGTGGTGTTCATGAGCACGTGGTGATGTTTGTCTTACCTGACACGTGCCTTATGTTTTGTTCACACATTTGTGTTGTCCACTGCACATCAAATACTTCGCAATGAGTGCAAAGAAGCGGAAGTATCTTGACGAATATATTCGATTTGGAATCGTGTCTCTCCAAAAGGGTGACACAGAGGTCCCCCAGCGTGTGATATGTTACAAGACTCTGAGCAATGATGGAATGCGGCCCTCACGCTTGGAACGCCACTTGAGGACAACACAAGCCCAAGGCATTCTTTGAAACAAAAAGACACTCCTTGAAGCAAGTTAAGTTGGACGGCAGTGGGTCATTTCGGCAACAAACTTCAAAGGTTGTTGAGGCTTCCTATGAGATCGCCATGTTGATTGCAAAGAGCACGGAGTATGCTTGGTTTTATGAGAAACCAAGCATACTCCGTGCAACAGAACTCGTTCTGGGAAAAGACAAGCTTTCCCAAATTTCACTATCAAACGATACAGTCAAGGGAAGGATCGATGAATTGTCTCAAGACATCAAAGATTAAATTCTCGACCAAGTACGAGATTCTCCTGTTTTTGCCATCCAGTGTGACGAAACGGCTGACAACGCTCAGTGTTCTCAGCTACTGATGTATGCTCGTTTCGTGTCAGGCAACAGTGTAAAAGAGGAAATGCTGTTTTCGTGTCAGGCAACAGTGTAAAAGAGGAAATGCTGTTCTGTCACCCCATGGAAAGTTGTACAACAGCAGCAGCTATTTTTCATGATGTATCAAACTTCTTTCAGGAAACCCAACTTTCGTGGGACTCGCTGGTAGGGGTGTGCACTGATGGAGCTCCAGCCATGATTGGTCTGCAGTCTGGATTCATTACAATGGTGAAAGAAAAAATCCGTCTGTTGTAGGTACACACTGCATACTTCATCGTGAATCCTTAGTATCTAGAACTCTGGAAGTGTCGAATTCAGCAGGGAAATACAGCCAGTTTTAGTAACTTGGATTCTGCTCTCATTCACGGTAACCTTGATTCTGAGTTAAAGAAACAAATAATCACTCATCTAACTGACTTGAAAACAGAATTCATCAGATACTTCCCAGAGATAGATGAGAAGCGTGAGGCCTGGAAATTCATCAGGAACCCATTTCAATGTGAAGTAGCTGATGTTTCGGATGAAGTGCAAGAGGAGTTTCTTGAGTTGAAGTTCAACTCCACAGCTAAGGAAGACTTCAAAGAACTGGATCTTGAGACGTTCTGGGTCAAGTACCTTCCTGTTTACCCTCTGATCTCACATCAGGCTCTTCGGATTCTAACTATGTTCGGATCCACGTATCTTTGTGAAGCTGCATTTTCCACGCTCGTTGCTGTCAAGACCAAGTACAGAAACAGGCTGAACGTTGAATGGGATTTACGTTGTGCTCTCTCTGGCATTCAACCACGCATTCAAGAACTAGTAGCGAAGAAGCAGTGTCAAGTATCTCACTAATTTATACTCAATAAAAAGACTAAAAACACAATATTTTTCATTTTTCTTTAAATTCTGGGAGGGAATTTTATTCATAGATACAAGGGGGGCGTGGAGGGAAGGACCAATTCCTAGAGGGGGCGTGGTAGTAAAAAGGTTAAGAACCACTGTCTTCGAGAGAGAGAGAGAGAGAAAGAGAGGGATAGAAAAGATTAGACAGACAGAACTAGAGAGAGAGACTAGACAGAGAGATACAACGAGAAATAATGATCAGAGACAGACAAAGAGAGAGAGAGAGAGAGAGAGAGAGAGAGAGAGAGAGAGAGACAGACAGACAGACAACATCACCTGCAAGGAGTTGATATTCTCTAAGAGCTGCTCGACAGTAGCTGCACCAATCAAAACGCAATGTAGGTTTTCGTTCTTCATGCTCCATGCTACTGAGAGTTGGGTCAGAGTGCAGCCAAGACGTTCTGCTAATTGTGCCAGCTCCCGTAATCTTGCCTGCTGCTTCCTGCCATCTTCACTACCTGCTTTGTCTTTCAGCCAAGTGTATCCCTGGAATATATAAACCACGAATTATATATATATATATATATGTGTGTGTGTGTGTGTGTGTATATGTGTGTGTGTGTATATGTGTGTGTGTATATGTGTATGTGTGTGTGTGTATTTTACTTAAGAAATAACAAGTTTTTGTCCATTTTAACACAATTTACACACACACACACACACACACACACACACACACACACACACACACACACACACATACACACACACTTCCTCATACATTAAAAAACTTCAATTAAAAAAAAAATACCACAAGGACATATTTAATTATAAAGATTCTATTAATTGACAAACTAATTTTCCGCATCAACAGTATATTGTGTTATCCTCAATGGTTTTATGTTATTAGCAATGCAAATATGGCCTGGAAGCTTAAAACAGAAAACGGTAAACAACTTCTAGCAATGAAACGGGAACCAGCAAATTACTCCAAGCAAAGAAAACGGGAAACAGCAAATTACCCCAAGCAAAGAAAACGGGAACCAGCAAATTACTCCAAGCAAAGAAAACGGGAACCAGCAAATTACTCCAAGCAAAGAAAACGGGAACCAGCAAATTACTCCAAGCAAAGAAAACGGGAACCAGCAAATTACTCCAAGCAAAGAAAACGAGAAATAATCTCAAGCAGTCTAATATTCTTAGCAAAAACATCAAGGGACAAGGGACTCTGTAAACACAAACATCAAGGGACTCTGTAAACACAAACATCAAGGGACTCTGTAAACACAAACATCAAGGGACTCTGTAAACACAAACATCAAGGGACTCTGTAAACACAAACATCAAGGGAATCTGTATACACAAACATCAAGGGACTCTGTAAACACAGCATCAAGGGACTCTGTAAACACAAACATCAAGGGACTCTGTAAACACAAACATCAAGGGTCTCTGTAAACACAAACATCAAGGGACTCTGTAAACACAAACATCAAGGGACTCTGTAAACACAAACATCAAGGGACTCTGTAAACACAAACATCAAGGGACTCTGTAAACACAAACATCAAGGGACTCTGTAAACACAAACATCAAGGGACTCTGTAAACACAAACATCAAGGGACTCTGTAAACACAAACATCAAGGGACTCTGTAAACACAAACATCAAGGGACTCTGTAAACACAAACATCAAGGGCCTCTGTAAACACAAACATCAAGGGACTCTGTAAACACAGCATCAAGGGACTCTGTGAACACAAACATCAAGGGACTCTGTAAACACAAACATCAAGGGACTCTGTAAACACAAACATCAAGGGACTCTGTAAACACAAACATCAAGGGACTCTGTAAACACAAACATCAAGGGACTCTGTAAACACAAACATCAAGGGCCTCTGTAATCACAAACACAATATACTATGAGTTAAGCGACTGCAGTTAAATCCACTAATCCTAACCTAACCTAACTTAACCTAACCTAACTTAAATTAATCTTAACCTCCCCAACTTAACTTAACTTACCATAATATAACTTAACCCAACCTAACTTAAACAAACCTAACTTAACTTAACCTAACCTAACCTAACCTAACCTAACTTAAACAAACCTAATGTAAATTAACTTGATCTAACTTCATATAACTTAACCTAACTTGTATTATTTAACTTATCTAATTTAACTTAATCTAACCTAACCTAAACCAAACTGACCTAAACCCAACCTAACCTAAACCAAGTAAACATAAATCAATGTAAAACAAACCAAGGTAACATAAACCAACGTAACATAAACCAAGGTAACATAAACCAACGTAACATAAACCAACGTAACATAAACCAAGGTAACATAAACCAAGGTAACATAAACCAAGGTAACATAAACCAATGTAACATAAACCAACGTAACATAAACCAACGTAACATAAACCAACGTAACATAAACCAAGGTAACATAAACCAAGGTAACATAAACCAACGTAACATAAACCAATGTAACATAAACCAACGTAAAATAAACCAAGGTAACATAAACCAATGTAACATAAACCAACGTAACATAAACCAACGTAACATAAACCAAGGTAACATAAACCAACGTAACATAAACCAAGGTAACATAAACCAACGTAACATAAACCAAGGTAACATAAACCAACATAACATAAACCAAGGTAACATAAACCAAGGTAACATAAACCAACATAACATAAACCAACGTAACATAAACCAAGGTAACATAAACCAACATAACATAAACCAAGGTAACATAAACCAAGGTAACATAAACCAACGTAACATAAACCAAGGTAACATAAACCAAGGTAACATAAACCAAGGTAACATAAACCACGTAACACAAACCAAGGTAACATAAACCAACATAACATAAACCAAGGTAACATAAACCAACATAACATAAACCAAGGTAACATAAACCAAGGTAACATAAACCAAGGTAACATAAACCAAGGTAACATAAACCAACATAACATAAACCAAGTTAACATAAACCAACGTAACATAAACCAAGGTAACATAAACCAAGGTAACATAAACCAAAGTAACATAAACCAAGGTAACATAAACCAAGGTAACATAAACCAAGGTAACATAAACCAAAGTAACATAAACCAACGTAACATAAACCAACGTAACATAAACCAAGGTAACATGAACCAAAGTAACATAAACCAAGGTAACATAAACCAAGGTAACATAAACCAAGGTAACATAAACCAACGTAACATAAACCAACGTAACATAAACCAAGGTAACATGAACCAAAGTAACATAAACCAAGGTAACATAAACCAAGGTAACATAAACCTAGGTAACATAAACCAACATAACATAAACCAAGGTAACATAAACCAAAGTAACATAAACCAAGGTAACATAAACCAAGGTAACATAAACCAAAGCAACATAAACCAAGTAACACAAACCAAGGTAACATAAACCAAGGTAACATAAACCAAGGTAATATAAACCAAGGTAACATAAACCAAAGTAACATAAACCAAGGTAACATAAACTAACGTAACATGAACCAAAGTAACATAAACCAAGGTAATATAAACCAAGGTAACATAAACCAAGGTAACATAAACCAAGGTAACATAAACCAAGTAACATGAACCAAAGTAACATAAACCAAAGTAACATAAACCAAGGTAACATAAACCAAGGTAACATAAACCAAAGTAACATAAACCAAGGTAACATAAACTAACGTAACATGAACCAAAGTAACATAAACCAAGGTAATATAAACCAAGGTAACATAAACCAAGGTAACATAAACCAAGGTAACATAAACAAGTAACATAACCAAGGTAACATAAACCGTAACATGAACCAAAGTAACATAAACCATAAACCAAGGTAACATAAAAGTAACATAAACCAAGGTAACATAAACCAAGTAACATGAACCAAAGTAACATAAACCAAGGTAACATAAACCAAGGTAACATAAACCAAGGTAACATAAACCAAGGTAACATAAACCAAGGTAACATAAACCAACATAACATAAACCAAAGTAACATAAACCAAGGTAACATAAACCAAGGTAACATAAACCAAGGTAACATAAACCAAGGTAACATAAACCAAGGTAACATGAACCAAAGTAACATAAACCAAGGTAACATAAACCAAGGTAACATAAACCAAGGTAACATAAACCAAGGTAACATAACATGAACCAAAGTAACATAAACCAAAGTAACATAAACCAAGGTAACATAAACCAAGGTAACATAAACCAAAGTAACATAAACCAAGGTAACATAAACCAAGGTAACAAACCAACGTAACACGAACCAAGGTAACATAAACCAAAGTAACATAAACCAAGGTAACATAAACCGAGGTAACGTAAACCAAGGTAACAAACCTAAGTAACATAAACCAAGGTAACATAAACCAAGGTAACATAAACCAAAGTTCCTTGAGCTTATAAAGTTCATTCAATTTCACATTCAGAAAAGTTATTGTGTGTGTGTGTGTGTGTGTTTATATTTGTGTACATGTATGTGTGTATATACAGTAAGTGCACGTATGTGTGTCTGTAGCTATACCAACATGTCATTTCACCAGATATTTCACACCACAACACAACACACCCAACCTAACCTATCCTAAACTCCTACTTTTACTTTTCACTCCTATTTTTACTTTTCACTCCTTTAATTTTTACTTCTATTTTTACTTCTAACTCTTATTTTTACTTTTACTTTTGACTCCGATTTTTACTTTTAACTCCTATTTTTACTTTTGACTCCTACTTTTACTTATACTTTTGACTCCTACTTTTACTTTGAATTCCTATTTTTACTTTTACTTTTTACTCGTACTTTAACTTTTGACTCCTACTTTTACTTTTAATTCCCATTTTTACATTTACTTTTGACTCCTATTTTTACTTTTGACTTCTACTTTTACTTTTAATTCCTACTTTTACTTTTGACTCCTACTTTTTATTTTAACTCCTATTTTTACTTCTTACTCCTACTTTTACTTTTTACTCTTACTTTTACTTTTGACTCCTACTTTTACTTTTAATTCCTAATTTTACTTTTACTTTTTACTCCTACTTATACTTTTGACTCCTACTTTTTATTTTAACTCCTATTTTTACTTCTTACTCCTACTTTTACTTTTTACTCTTACTTTTACTTTTTACTCCTACTTTTACTTTTGACTCCTATTTTTACTTTTAACTCCAATTTTTACATGAATATCAGTCAGAAAAAGTTAAAGTACGAGACATGGAAGTTCTACAGCGAGACATGGAAGTTCTACAGCGAGACATGGAGGTTCTATAGCGAGACATGGAAGTTCTATAGCGAGACATGGAAGTTCTATAGCGAGACATGGAAGTTCTATAGCGAGATATGGAAGTTCTATAGCGAGACATGGAAGTTCTATAGCGAGACATGGAAGTTCTATAGCGAGACATGGAAGTTCTATAGCGAGACATGGAAGTTCTATAGCGAGACATGGAAGTTCTATAGCGAGATATGGAAGTTCTA